TAACCAGAAGGCTGGCAGTTCAAACCCACCAGTCACTCCTCAGAAGGAAGGTTGGGCAATCTACTTCCATAGTGATACCACCTCAGAAACCCAAAGAGGTGTCGCTATGAGTCAGATCTGACTCAATAGCACATAACAACAACAACAAAACAGTGTGCCTAAAGCCTAGTTGTATGCACACTCCTGTATGCGTGTGCCCTCGGTGTAATGTGGAGTGCTGACAAGCTCAAATGTGTTATAAAGGAATTATACATGGGTTAGATGTAGTAGTCATAGTAATATGATGCAAGTTTCAAACATGATTTGTTTGTGTGCATGGTGTTTCTTAGACTATTTTACTTACTGTGTCAAAGGAAAAAATTAATAACAGACACCTTGTGCTTGTTGCTGTTAGGTGCTGTCGAGTCAGTTCTGACTCATAGCAACCCTATGTACAGTATAAAGAAATACTGTCTGGTTCTGCACCATCCTCATAATCATTGCTCTGTTTGAGCCCATTGTTGCAGCCACAGTGTCGATCCATTTCATTGTGAATCTTTCTCTTTTTCGCTGTTCCTCTACTTTATCAAGCTTAATATTCTTCTCCAAGCACTGGTAACCTCCTGATAACATGTCCAAAGTATGTCAGGTAAACTCTCACCATCCTCACTTTTAAGGAGCATTCTGGCTTTACTTCTTCCAAGACAGATTTGTTCATTCTTCTGTCAGTCCATAGTGTATTTAATATTCTTTGCCAACACCATAATTCAAAGGCATCAATTTTCTTCAGACTTCTTTATTCATAGTCCAGCTTTCCCGTATATATATGAGGCAACTGAAAATACCATGGCTTGGGTGAGGCACACCTAGTCTACAAAGTGACATCTTTGCTTTTTAACACTATAAAGAGGTCTTTTGCATCAGATTTGCCCAATGCAATACATCGTTTGATATCTTGACTGCTATTTCTGTGTGGGTGTTGATTGTGGATCCAAGGAAAATGAAATCTTTGACAACTTCAAGCTTCTCTTCATTTATCCTGATATTGTTTGTTCGTTCATTTGCAAGAATTTTTGTTTTATGTTGAGGTGTAATCCACACTGAAAGCTGTAGCCTTTGATCTTCATCAGTAAGTGCTTCAAGTCCTCCTGGCTGTCAGCAAGTAAGATCGTGTCATCTGCATATCGCAGGTTGTTAATGATCTTCTTCCAGTCCGGATTCCACATTCTTCTTCATATAGTCCAGCTTCTCAGATTATCTGCTCTGCATACAGATTGAATAAGTATGGTGAAAGGATACAACCCTAACACACATCTTTCTTGACTTTTAAACCATGCAGTATCCCATTTTTCTGTTCAAATGCCTCTTTGTCTATGTACTGGTTCCTTACAAGCACAATTAAGTATTCTAGTATTCCCATTCTTCTCAATGTTATCCATAATTTGTTTTGATCCACGCAGTTGAATGCCTTTGCATAGTCAATAAAGCACAAGTAAACATTCTCTGCTTTCAGCCAAGGTCCATCTGATATCAGCAATGATATCCCTCATTCTACGTCCTCTTCTGAATCCAGCTTGTATTTCTGGAATTTCCTGTCTATGTACTGCTGTAACCATTTTTTAATTATCTTCAGCAAAATTTTACTGTGTGATTAATGATATTGTCTGATAATTTCCACATTCTAGTTTGGATTTTTTTTTTTTTTTTTTTTTAGTATGGGTGAAATATTGAAAGACAGAGTAAGCATCAAGAGAAGATGGAAGGAGTACACAGAGTCAGAAATAATTAGTCCACATTCAACCATTTCAGGAGGTAGAACCAATAGTATTGAATGAAGAAGTCCAAGATGCACTGAAGGAATTGGGGAAAAAAAAAACAACAAAAAAAACATATCTCCAGGAATCAACAAAATGTCAATTGAAATGATTCAACAAATAAGTACAGTGCTGGAGGTCCCATAGTACTACTATTGGATCACTCTTCTCTGGAATGGGCATGAATATGGATTTCTTCCTGTTGGTTGGCCAGGTAGCTGTCCTCCAAATTCCTTGGCATAGACAAGTGAGCACCTCCAGCACTGCATCTAATATCACATGTAAGATTTTACTTGGTGTGATATTAATGACATTGTTTGATAATTTCCACATTCCTTGGGATCACCTTTCTTTGGGTACAATATGGATCTCTTCCAGTCAGTTGGCCAGGTAGCTGTCTTCCAAACTTCTTGGCATAGCCAAGTGAGTGCCTCTAGCACAGCATCCATTTGTAGAAACATCTCAGTGGGTATTCCTTCAATTCCTGGAGCATTGTTCTTTTCCAATTCCTTCAGTGCTGCTTTGACTTCTTCCTCCAATACCATTGGTTCTTGGTCATATGCCATCTCCTGAAATGGATGAACATTGAGCAGGTCTTTTTGGTACAGTGACTCTGTGTATTCCTTCTATCTTCTTTTGGTGTTTCCTGCATCATTCAATATTTTGCTCATAGAATCTTTTAATATTGCAACTCAAGGCTTGAATTTTTTTCTTTATGCTGAGAGTGTTCTTCCCTTTTGGTTTTCTAATTCCAGATCTTTGCACATTTCATTATAATAATTGACTTTGACTTCTTGAGCTTCTCTGCAGTATGGATTACATCTCAACATAAAAAAAATGAAAATCCTCACAACTGGACCACTAGCAGCGTCATGATAAATAGAGAAAAGATGGAAGTTGTCAAAGATTTCATATTACTTGGTTTCACAATCAACATCAATGGAAACAGCAGCCAAGACATCAGACAATGTATTGCACTGGGCAAATTTGCTGCAAAAGACCTCTTTAAAGTGCTGAAGAGCAAGGATGTCTCCTTGAAGACTAAGGTGCACCTAACCCAAGCCATGATATTTTCAATCGCCTCATATGCCTGTGAAAACTGGACAATGAACAAGGAAGACTGAAAAAGAGTTGCTGATTTTGATTTACAGTCTTGGCAAAGAATACTGAAAGTACCATGGACTGTCATAAGAACTAATAAATCTGTCCTGGAAGAAGTGCCACCAGAATGCTCCTTGGAAGGGAGAATGGCCAGACTGCCTTCGTCTCACCTATTTTGATCATGTTGTCAGAAGGGACCATTGCCTGGAGAGTGATATGCTTGGTAAACTGGTTGTTGTTGTTGTTGTTGTTTGCCATCGAGTCGGCCCCGACTCCTAGCGACCCCTCCTTGGGTTTCCGAGGCAGTTATCACTACGGAAGTAGGATTGCCCAAGGTAAACTGGAGAGTCAAGGAAAAAAGAGGAAGGCCCTCAACAAGATGGATTGACACAGTGGCAGCAATGATGGGATCAGGTATAGCAAAGATTGTGAGACTAGCACAAGACCCAGCAGTGTTTCATTCTGTTGTACATAGGGTCATGATGAGTTGTAGCTGACTCAATGGCACCTAACAACAACAATCATTATGTGAAAACTGATTGCCACATCTTTCTCCCACAGAGTGGCTGGTGGGTTTGAACTGCTGACTTTTTGGTTAGGAGCTGAGTACTTAACTACCCTGTAACCGGGTTCCTTAAGTCAGGCTTACTTAATTTAAATTTCAAAAGGTATACTGGCTGCAGGCTGGTAGTAAGGCCAAGAGATCATCTTATGACTTGATATCAGTTGATTTAAGAAAATCATGATAAGATTAGCCAATGGTTGATCTTCTATTCTCTCTCCTCTTTTCTTTGTAAACTTCCTTGTAACTAGCCTACTTACAGTCACTCTTTTTTTTTTTTTTAATTAGAATCGTCTCCCTCTATGCATATAAAATAAGTGCTCAGAATAAACCTTGTTTTAATTTCTTTGAGTTTTGACTACTTTTAACAGTTGCCCATTTTAACAAAAATAGGCTATTTCTCCCATTATTCCCAGCACAATGGATCCTGCAAAGAAAGGTGGCAAGAAGAAGGATCACTCTGCTGTCAACCAAGTGATGACCAGAGAGTACATCATGAGCACTCACAAGTGCATCCTTGGAGTGAGCTTCAAGAAGCATTCAAGGAGATCTGGAAATTTGTCATGAAGGAGATAGGAATGCCAGATGTGCACACTGACACCAGGCTCAACAAAGATGCCTGGGCCAAAGGAATGTCCCATACCATATCCATGTGTGGTTGTCCAGAAAACATAATGAAGGTGAAGTTCACCAAACAAGCTCTATACATTGGTTACCTACTTACCTTGTCACCACTTTTAAAAACCTACAGTTCATGTGAATGAAAACTAATAGCTGATTCTCAGATGAAGTTATAAAACTACTACTACAACAACAAAAAAAAAGGCTATTTCTCGTTATTTAATGGATTTCTAGCTTTTCCTACGTAATTGGACAATATGGAAGCGCCAGCCTGCCTTCCCACAGAGCACCAATCCTTTAAGCTGAGCTGTCTCTGACCCTTTATGTGGGGCCTGAGCACTCCAGCCTCCTCAGCCCCTCCAGGATATGCATCTTTTACCAGGGTTACCTGATCTCTGTGCCATTTGAACCCCAAATTTAGTCAGGACATCTGGTTTTAAATCTTGGCTACTCTTGTTATGAAAATATAATTTTCAAAAGGAAGGTCAAATTATAAAATGAACATGTGTTAATGATTTTATTTAACTCACTTGTGAGGGAATCTATAAGATGTTACAACCAGTTTAAAGGAGGGTCCAAAGAATCAGAACATATGTAGATCAGGAATACTGAGGTGAAATATGCAAATGGAGGCAGAATTAGTCTCTTCCACAGTAGAAAAGTCAATTTAAGCTCCACATAGCAAAAAGTTATTTGTCTGTTGTCAATAGGCAAATTGTCAATGGTAATGATGTTTCTCACCCTACACCAAAAAAAAAAAAAAAACTGACTGCCATTGAGTTGGATCTGACTCATAGTGACCTGTCCTTGTGTTTCCCAGGTAGTATCACTAGGGAAGTAGATTCCTAATCTTTCTTCTGGGGAGTGGCTGGTGGGTTTGAACTGCCAGCCTTCTGGTTAGCAACCACATGCCTTAGGCACTACACTACCAGAGCCCCCTAATTTCACTGGGCCTCCATTTCTCCTTTTGTAAGAAAGTAGGATCAAATTAGATGATCTCTCGATTCCTTGCGATTTTGAGAGTCTGTGTGTATGTGTATACAACTGGAAGAAACACTGGGAGTTATTTCAATCCCCTCTTCACAACCCATTTAGAGAGAAAGAAACTGAAGCCCAGAGAAGATCAGAAATTGCTTTGCCCAAAGATCACCCAGCAGAGGTGGGATGAGGATCCAGGTTTCTTTCTCCAGCTCAGAACCACACTTCCTGTCAAGATTATAGCTCTGATAGAGGCACCACCCCATCTCACCTCACCAACAGGAAACCTGAGAGCACCTGGATGCCAGACAAAGCCTTGGGGAGCAGAGGTTCGACTGGTCAGGCAGGTCAGGCAGGACTGGAGACAGTGTCTTGAAAACAGCCACCCCAACCAGCCTTAGGTCTGAGGGTCCCTAATAAGTTGGCTTTGAATCCCAAAGATTTTAATTTCCTTAGGCCCTTCGCCTAGAGCTGTGATTCTTAATGCTAGCTACAACTGAAACCACCTGGGGAACTTTAATTCCCATGTCCGGGCTGCACCCCAGAGTGGAACCCAGGCATCAGCATTTTTTAAAGTTCCCCAAGTGATTCCAATGTGCAACCAACATAGAGAGCCACTGGTCTAAAACAGCAGCTTCACAAACTGTAATGTGCATGCAAAACATCCAGCATCTTGTTAAAATGTGGATTCTGACTCAGCAGGCTTGGAACGGACCCAAGAATTTGAATTTCTCATAAGCCAACACTGCTGGTCTTTGGACCACAGTTTGAGTAGCAAGGGCTTAGAGTGAACCATATGGATTAGATACAGATAGAGTTGCTGTTTCTTCCCAAGTAGGGCAATTGGTAAACTTTCTCCTCCTCCTCCCATCATTGAAACAAGACATTAAGGACAAAGCCTTTGTTCTTCCTAGGTTTTCCTAGCTAAGCCTTATCAGCCTGCTATGCTGAGGTGGGGTGCATTGCATGATGTCTGAAGACCAGTCCAGACTCAGCATTCTTAACTCTGTGAAGTATCTAGCTCCTAGAAGTTACCCAAGAGTTGCTGGGTGAATGCAAACTGGCTAACCAGAGGCCTGTTTTCTGAATACCACTGCTTTACTCTTTCTACCCCACATCCCTTTCTCCTTCCTTCCCTGACCTTCAGTTGCCCTCCAGGGTGGCTCTCAAGAATTACCTAGGTTTGATAGATGCTATTTGCTTCTCCAGGGAGTTCTGGTGGCACTGTGGTTAAAGCACTGAGCTGCTAACCAAAAGGTTGGTGGCTTGAACCCACCAGCCATTCTGTGGGAGAAAGATGAGGCAGTCTGCTTCCATAAAGATTTAGAGCCTTGGAAACCCCATAGGGCAGTTCTATTCCATCCTACAGTGTTCCTATGAGTCAGAATGGACATGATGGCAGTGGGTTTGGTTTAGTTTTGGTTGCTTCTGCCAGTTATTTTCTAACCAAACACAATTCCATTGATTTCACAGGAGGCTTAGGCAATCGCTGCTGTTAAGTTGGCACCCTATGTGTGATGGAGTAGAATTGCTCCATAGGTTTTTCCTGGTTGTAATCTTTACAGAAGCAGTTCACCAGATATTTCTTCCACAGAGCTACTGAGTGGGTTTGAACCACCATTCTAGGTTAGCAACCTATCACAAAAGAGCCTTAGTTGTCTTGATGACTCCCAGCTAGGAATAGGGGTTGGGGTGTGAGGCTCAGTATCTTGTACTTTCTTAGGGCTTGGGTCTAGGACTACAGGAAGGAGCCAACAGTGCATCAGATTTCAGCTACACAGCACCAGCCCTTTACAGTTCCAAAGCATTCTATTAGCTGTCTCATTCATTCATTGAGCAAACATTAGCCAGATAGCACAATGCCGTCCTGGGCTCTGGGATGCAAACAGAGTCTACCCGGACGGACTCAAGAGTATTCTCTGCAGTTGCTCCAGGAGCCTCACTCGCCATAGCCCTTAGGCTGGATTGAACTTTGAGCGTGGTCATCACCTGTAGTACACTTATCCTGACAGCAGGTGGCAGCCACTACCCAACTTCCACTCACTGTTGCCAGAGAAGCACACCGGCCCAGTGTGGCCAGATCTGATTTTTCAGCAGAAACTGGGAATCCAGACTCGTCTGTGAATCCTCTCTAAATCTTTAATTCAGATTTTTATAAAAAGACTCTGTGGGATAAAAGTGGGTCTGCAGAACAGATGAACCCTAAGGAGCCCCCATGAACTTCATTCAAAACGCCAGAGCTTCCAAACATTGTTACATATATTTTTACAACATCTTTTTTTAAATGCCAGGGTTTCATTGTTATTCCAACACTTCATTTTACAAGTGGGGTGACTGAGGCTCAGAGGAGAAAGAGACTTGCCCATTATGTTAGGGCTGAGCCAACAGTAGAACCCAGGAGTCCTGACATCTGATCCAGATCTTCTCTAAGTAGGAAGCACTTCCACTAGGACTCTGGGGTCCCCAGAGAGATAAGATTCTACAGCTCAGGCAATGAGGGTGCACTCCGGAGAGCTGGCCCAGCTGAAGGGAGCCCCAGTGGGGCTGGGGAGGTCGCCAAAGTCCAAGGGCAGAAAGGGGGAGGGAGTTTATTTTTAGCGGCATAGAATGTGCCTCTAAGCCTTATTTAGACATCAGGCGACAGAATGAGCTGGAGGCGGCAGGGGTGGGGGAGGAGATAGCCCCCTCCCCCCTCCTGGGGCTCCTCTTACAACTGCTCTTCCCTAGCTGCCCCCTGATCATCCTTTCTGGGGGCGCAGGGTCCCACTTTAAATAGCAGCCCTTGGGGCGTGGGCGCTGTCCTGCTCTGACTAGCTAGCTCTCTCCTCCACCTCCTCCCCTTTATCCCCACTCCTCCACAGTCACAGAGAGATACAGAAACCTAGGACATAGAATGTTTTATCTTTGCCTTCTGAGGTCACAAACCTCCTTTGAGAACTTAAGGTAATTTATTGTGGTGGTTTAGAGCTCAGGATAGGGAGTCCCTTAGACTTGGGTTCAAATCCCTGCTTATGACCCTGAGCAAGTGACTTGAACTCCGGAAACCTGAGTTCCTCCTCATTTGTACGGCTCTGGTAGCATAGTGGCTAAGGCACTTGACTGCTAACCAGAAGTCTGGCCGTTCAAACCCACCAGCCACTCCTCAGAAGGAAGATGGGGCAATCTACTTATCTGCCTCACAGGGTCCTGAAGATTGAAGGTGATAAAGCACGTGAATACCTTAACATCATAATAAGCCCTTGATAAATGATGGTGATTAAAGCTACAGTCACTACCCAGAGTATCTAAGGCATTTGACTGCTAACCAGAAGGCTGGTGGTTCAAACTCACCAGCCACTCCTCAGAAGGAAGACTGGGCAATCTACTTCAGTAGAGCTATCACCTCAGAAAACCAAGGAGGGGTCATTGTGAGTCTAATTGACTCGATGGCAGTGAATTTTGTTTTGGTTTTTATTCATGCACAATTGTGAATGTAATTTCAGGAAGCTCATGTACCCCTGAAACCCTCTTATCCCAAACCAATTTTGGACCCAATCCGATTAAGTCATTCATTTGCTGAACAAGTCTTTGCTAGAGCTAATTCAATGCCAGTCATTGGGCAATGTGTAGGGGGGACAGGAGACATGAATGCATGTGAATTACTCAGGGCCACACTGCAAATCAATAACAAACTAAGAGCCAGAAAGAAAGTCTTCAGAATCCCTGACTTAATTAGAGGCCTCCACAAAGATCCCTTACAGTCCCAGTCAAAATGGATGTGAGTGCCCCGTTCCTTCAGCAGATAGTCTCGTGCCTTCTCCAATATTCCTGACAGTGTTGGCCTCTGCTCATGTCCCTCCCGCAATGGGGCACTCACACTGTCAAGCTAGACCCTTGGATCTTTGACCAGTTGGAAGGTCTTTCTTCCTCCCAAGGAGGTGGGC